CTCCATTGGTGGGGGTACAGGATAGCCATCAATAACCCTCTCTTCCATGAATTTGTCCAATCCTTGGTGGCCATCAATGCTTCCTGCAGGAGCACGTTCCATACTTTCACTATGTGCTGCATGAAGACGTCCTTTATTTTATCTGCCCTGAATCTGCCAACAATCAGCTTCACCAGATGACCACAAGTTCTAAAGGTGGTCTTGCTAAGTCCTAGTTGGGCTTGCCATGCTGTGCGAACCAGGCTACAGTTTAGAATCCAAATCCTGGTTTGAACTTTCCAGAGTACAACAGGCAAACCCTGTTTGGGTTGGGGCTGCTTGACTGCTTTTCATTTTTCATCCTCTCCGCTTTCACCGCCTTCACATGCTCCCACCTCCGCAGCATAGCAGACTCTGGAGGTGGAGAAAGAGCCATAACTTTGGCCTGTCAGTTTAATAGGGTTTTTAAACTTGGTTTCAGTGGCTAGATGCAAACCATGATTTGTTGATGCAAACATTACCTGGGGGGGGGGGTGTCACATCACTGTCAGTGTGAAAGGGCTTTACGTGTAGACAAATGTACACACCCTGGGGTCTTCCATACAAGGGGCAAGCCTGGGCGAAACATGGAACCAGTGATGTGACTCCCATGTAGACACCTACAGTCTGATACAGATTTGTTCAGAGAATGTCCATTTCAGTTTCTAATTTTTTCCATCTAAAGTTCACCCCAGTTTGGATTTTTTTTTACAGCCCCCACAAAAATGTGCACACATTTTTATATTTGTATACATCCCCCCCCCTAATACTCATATTTTTTGGTTGAAGAGTAGCACTGCAAAATTTGAAGCACAAATTTCTAAGGTTTCATTGCAATGAAGACCCGAGAAATGTTGCCGTGATCCCTAGACACAGGACGCCAAGTGCACAGCCAAGAGGAGGTGTCCACTTCCTGTGTCAACCCCTCTCTACTGCTATCTCTTCAATACAAGGTGGGAATAAATACATTTTAAGGTGTTGCTGTGAAGATTTCTAAGTGTTATAGTATCATTATTACTCCATATGTTTTATTTAACCAACAGAAAGCCATCATCTTTATGAAGGCATCTGCAAGGGTGATGTTTCCTTTCTATTGCAGATTTTTAACTGTAGGCTATCATTTCGGTCTTGCATAAAGTTCTATTATGGCTTTCTTCAAATAGTATGCCTATTGGGTTTTTACTGTTGTGTGCTTCTTCAGAGCAGTGTGTGTGAGAGACGGGGGGTGGGGGGAGGGAGGGAAAGAAATATTTAAAGTGTGGGTGGAAGATTGATGAGATCCAGTGCTCTGGAATGCATCCACTACACCAGTGGTTTTTCCACACTGTGCCCTGGAGGGTTCCACAGAAGTTTGTCACCATCGGCCATTCAATGAGATGGTCAATTATGGCAAAAAAGCTTCCCCAAGAGGGACCTTCCCTTGCCCACAACTATTAATTAAAATTACTTGTTAGCTGGCCTTTATTAAAATTACTTGTTAGCTGGCCTTTTCACATAGTGGTGTGTGTGTGTGTGTGTGTGTGTGTGTGTGTGTGTTTCATCCTCTCCAAAAGGACAATAGGGGAGGACAGTTACCAAAACAACCTAGCCATGATGGCTACATATTACCTCCAGGATCAGGGGCACAATGCCTCTAAACATCAGCTGCTAGGAAACAGGAGTAGGAGACTGCTATTGCAATGAGGTCTTGCTTGTGGTTCTCACAAAGGATCTACACAGCCAGTGAGACAACAGGATGCTGGACTAGTTGGGCCTTTGACCTGATCCAGCCACCATGCTCTTCCAACCTTCATGATCTCAGGGGGAACTTCATTCAACAACCAAGGCAATCAATGTAAAGATTAAGGAGTATTAGGGCTTCTATGGAGTTCTCCAAGTCACGGGTTGGCAATGTGACACCCTCAGGCTGGAGGGGTACTGCTTCCAGGGGTTCATCTTGTAGCCTTGTGTCTGGGACTGGCCCTAGGGGCAAGGCCTCCAATTAATTTCTAAGCACAAATTGAGCCCAGAAGCATCTTGACAGTGAATGCAATTGGCCCAAGTCCAGCTGGATGGGTTCTCTATATGCCATATCCTTAAAGTGGCACACAATTGCATTTTGTGAATTTTGCACTGGATGGAAGAGAACTCTCTTTTTGGCATCAGGTTGAAACCATCCTGATATCTCAGGCAGTTGATGAAATACAATGAGATGGGTGCTATTGTCTGCATGTTTGGGATCTCTCTTTTCCCCCCAAGTTGCAACTAATATAAAAATTATTTTCCTGTGGTGGCTAGTGCCCATTGAAACTGGTAGGGCAGAAGTCAGGGAGACGAACAGTAGGTGGCGCCAGAGCCATCTCATTCTAGTTTAGTGCTCATCCTCTTCCCTGGTAAGCTCTACAAGAGCGACATTGAGACTAAGGAGGAGGCAGACAGGCAGGATCAGTCCCGGAACTGGTTGTAAGTAAAAAGGGGAGGCAGACGAGGCTAGCCTCTGAAGTTGTCCAATTTGTAGATGGTGCTGATTTTTGTTTTATTACAATCGTTAATTGCTTTTGCCTGCAGTTTTAAGGTTTTGCTTTCAAATTTGCTGTAAGGCACCTAGAGACAGGCTGGTATTCCACATCAAACAAACTAAATAAGTAGCAAAACAAAATGCTGCGACTGAGTGCCAGTCCAAAACAGACCAAGGCCAGTCAATCCGCCCCTAGCATGAAGCACCATCTGGAGAAGTACAGCTTAGATTCCTATTCAAAATCTTTCGTGCCAGAAATTTCTTCAACACTCAAGCTTGGAGAAGACAAAAGGCAGAAGTGGGAGTTAGAGGAGAGGTAGGTTCTCTGCTAACATAGGCAGGCCTTCTTACAACAAAGGCAACCACAAAGCAATCTTGGAGCCAAGATAGTGCCAAGACAATCACGCTCTCCATGCAGAGACAGAAACCCTCCCAGGCCATATGGTCGCTCCGAAACACTTTGCCATGCAGGAACGGCTGCAGACGTATCTTTGGGCTGGAATTAGTGTTTAAAGAAGAGTAATTGCTCCAATTAGAAGCTATCCAAGCCAAGAGAGGTAGAGAAAGTATTAAATTAGAAACAATCCCAGATTCCAAAAACAGCGCAGAGGCCAAAAAATTGTGACTTGTTAGGCACAGTGTACATATAATTATGATGCAGAGAGAATGAATTACTACTGATGTGAGTCCAAGCTCCCAAAGAGCTATTGATAGTTTCACTAAGGAAGCAAAGAGAAAGGCAAGAATTTGAGGGTGGACATGAACAAGGAGGCTGACAAGCGTAGGTGAGGGAGAGGAGAAAGAGAGGCCAGCTTGCAGACCACACTTAGGAAAGAAAAGACGCCTCAGGGTCTCTCTGCAGCTAGCACTTGCTGGCATCTATGTGTCTGGAGAGACAATGGAGTGTGTCTTCAGGGATGAAGTCTATTCACCAGGTAAGCAGCAATGAAGTGACCTCCCTGGGGTGCAAGCCTAGACAATGTGTATGGAGGTCCTGGGCTGCCCAGATGACAAGACCCCCTCTCAGCCATGCTGATGTGGTCCAAAGGAAAGCAGAGCAATACCTTTGGCTCCAGCTTGGCTGCAGAAGTTGCTGGAAGGAGGAGTACAATGAGCCATCCAACCGTCTTAGGGACCGGATTTGTGCTGGGTTTATTCCTTAGCCTTTTCTTCTCCCTAAGATGTCCCACAAACAGATTGTTCCTCTGGGTTTGCTCAAGCCTTTCTCATGAATGAAGATAGCCACAAGGCAGTGGAGGTTTAGGATCAGTTTCCCTTCTCCTAGGTGGGCTACCTTCCCAGGTTGATGAGTCCTGCCTGCCCCTCACTTCCTTCTACAGCACATGCAAGAACTGCCTTCTGGACCACTGGAGTCACTATTGGTCTTGTCCGCTCAATCTGCCAGAGTCCTGTGTCTTTGCACGAAGAGGAAGTCCTCAACTCACTGAAGGATTAAGACCCATCGGCTATCCTCACCTTAGCCTGTAGAAGCTGGGGTGTGGCCACTGTTGCATGCTGACAATTTCTAGGAGCCACAGGTGAGAGCGGAGTGCGGGGTGGGGAACAAAAGTGGACAAACTGCCCCAGGAGGAACATGACATGTCCCCCACCAGAGGTTTTACCCCTCCCCTAGCACCCCATACACCCCAGCACTACTGACTTAATAAATACCCCATTTATTCTGCACAGGTTTTAACAATCCTAGATAATGAACAGAAACCACCAACCTTCACCACTCAGTGATTTAGGATCACCGTTTGCCCTACCCTCTCATGCCTTAGAAAGGCAGCCAAAGCTGGCAGTAGAGGAGGGGAAATGTGAATCGCCCTGTGATCTTTGGATGAAGGTTGGAATACCAATTTAATAAATATAAATAAAATGAAACTCCAAAGTTGACACTAACAGATACATAATAGAAAAATCCTGGTGTGTGTTTGAAAATAAAAAAGAGTATACCTTTCAAACTGGCAGACTAATGATTGACGATGACGTTGATGGTATGTAATTTTGCTGCTGATTTTAATGTTGCTCCACCACAATTATATATTTTAATGTTGGCGGTGTAGACATTTTTGCAAACTAATAATAATAATAATAAATACAGTTAATAAAAACCATTAGCGTTCATCTCACAGTTTAATGTTTCATCAAAAAAAACTTATTCTACCCGTTGCTGCCTGCGTAGAAATAATAATGCAGCAAACAACCACAGACCCTTCAGGAAAAGGTTGCTTCTGCCACTCATTTCTAAAGAAGCTTTATGCGCCTTTTAAAATTTGGAATAAAGTGACGAGGCAAGCAAGGTCTGCCCCTGCTTGGAGGCCTTGCCCACTGGCCTTGGTGGGATCCACCGGACAACAACATGATCTGACATGTGTGCAGTAGACAATGGCTTTTATTGGCAGACGGAAATGAATCTTATGTTCAAATCTTCCTTTGGTCTCTCCCCAAATGAAGGAAGGAAGGAAGAAGGAAGAGATCTTACTTTCCCATCCAAACTGCGTAGCTGTCGGGGAGTCTCGGGATGAAGAGGATGGAGTTTCCACTGTCAACCTCAACTGCTCCGTAGCAGTCTGCCTCAGTCACTCCAAAAGTCCAGTGGAAGTAGGATTCCTAGAACCAAGGAATTTAAAAGCATTCCATTATGCCAGTTCTCCACTAATATTTTTTTTAAGGGTATCTAGAAAGATGTCAAGGTCAATACAGATTAGCACTACCTGTGGCAAAGGGACCCACCGGGTTGAAAGGTTTCAAACATAACGCAAAACACCCTCCAAATCACCTCTATCATCACTTCTAAAAAGGCAATCTGATTACATGGATATACTTGCCAAAAAAAAGTGGGAGGAACTAACAAAAATTAAAATGCTGAGCACCCTGAACTTCAAGACATTTATTCAGAAGTGCAGTGTCTCAATGGAACTCTGATCCCATTGGAGAGGACAGAGAAGTAACAAGAGCAAGGGTTCACTAATGTGACGCTCCCAGGAACAAGTGCCCGTGAGTACGTCCTTTGATGTCCACAGAAGGTCTCAGTAAATCCCCGTCCCAAAATCAACCCTGTGATGATTATTTATATAGCGCCCTTTGTCAGAAAACCACAGGGAGGTTTACAACATCACACGCAAATGCCAGCACGTAATAGAATATCTAGACAATATAAAGATCAAAACAGTTGTATAAATACAATTATAATAAGAAATTAATAATAATAATAATAATAATAATAATAATAATAATAATAATAATATTTATTTATTTATATCCCGCCCTCCCCAGCCAAAGCCGGGTAATATACAGGTATTCATAATACACAGATTTTCTTAGCCACAAAATAAGGGAGAAACTTCTATGATTTTGCTCAGTTCCTGTCTGCACTAGCTTGGCCTCTCCAAAATGGAGCAAGCCCACTTAAACATGCCCACACATTTAATTGCACATCAGGATGGATGCCCTCCAGAGATTGACTGGCTCTGCTAGGTGGGTATGACAGGAGGTGGAGCCCAAGCAGCCTGGAGGGTACCACATTAGGGGAAGGCTGCCCTGCTCATTTGTCCTTCCATGATAGGAACCCTTTGGCTGTACACTGACAGTCTGAGGATTATACATCTTCCTTCCTTCTAACTGTGAGCGCTGCACTCTACCAGCACCAACTACACTAACAGAATTGTTTTTGAAGGATTAAATTTCACTACCTATTTCTATGGGCAGGGCAAACTCTCCATTCTCTTTCTTGCCCCACCATAAGACTCCCATCAACTGAAGAGGGTCTTCAGGACTACATAAAGCAGGAGTCCCCTTTCTACTGATCGCAGTGGGAGCTGACTGGCAGCTTAAGGGGCAAGTTTTAAATTGTGGATCTTTAAGGGCATTCTTAAGGAAATCAGACCTGAGTGCTCACTGGAAGGACAGATCGTGAAGTTGAGGCTCCAATACTTTGGCCACCTCATGAGAAGAGAAGACTCCCTGGAAAAGACCCTGATGTTGGGAAAGATGGAGGGCACAAGGAGAAGGGGACGACAGAGGATGAGATGGTTGGATAGTGTTCTCGAAGCTACAAACATGAGTCTAACCAAACTGCGGGAGGCGGTGGAAGACAGGAGTGCCTGGCGTGCTCTGGTCCATGGGGTCACGAAGAGTCGGACACGACTAAACGACTAAACAAAAGGGCATTGCTGCTAAATCCTGACTCCTCAGGCAACACCTATTGGCTGATGAGAAGATTACAGTCTCATACTGACTCAAGCCCCAAGACCAATGAGAAGTTGAAACAGAGGCATCCTGCCTGACCAATTGCCCACACTAAACCTCTGAGCAAGTTGATAATATCTGGCTTTCCGTCAGCTACCTTGAATACGTGCCTAACTGCACCCCACTGAGAAGGAAACATGAACTGCACAAATTACTTAAGTTTAACAACGGTCCTAAGAGGCACAACCTTTGCCCATTTTGTGCCTCAATCAACCCTGCCTACATGACTGTAAAACAGATAACCATCCTGGAACACATCAGCAGAGATTAAACTGAGAGCAAAACTGAACTACAACCTCATCCCCACCTCTAAGAGGCTGAGAAATCTCACTTGCACTGTGTTAGAAGAGACCAGGGGAAATAGGTTAACAAGAACAAGCATGCTGGGGCAAGAGATTCTGCAAGCTCTCTGGTCTTTTCTTGTGGGTTAAGACAAAGACAGGAAGCAGCTATAGAGCAAGTCCCTAGGGGGAGGGTGGTGATATCTCAAGGACTCTCAGAGACATGGATATATCCAAGCTGGGTGGTCAAAAGCTCCTGGAAAGGGAATCGGTGGAGGCAGAGGGGAAGGAGCCCACCATGAGCCAGCCCACACGGGACAGTGATTCTGCAGCATTGAATTATGCATTGAATTAACTGATGCAGGACAGTAAGAGCCATGTGAAATAATTCTTGGTAAACACTGCAGAAGGAGGCCTGGACCGATCAAGCATTTGCTGTATTAACCAATGCACAGTTCAAAAGGGTGGAGGGAGAAAGGAAATCAGAAGCCCACTAGCTGACTCCAAGCACACCAGTGTTTCAGGAAAGATAACGATCAAGAACGTAAGAACATAAGGAGAGCCTGCTGGTTCAGGCCAATGGCCCATCTAGTTCAGCATCCTGTTCTCACTTAAGGTGGCCACCCAGATGCCCCTATGGGGAACCCCTAAGCAGGACCTGAGGCAGAGCCTTTGGGAACTGACTGTTTTGAAGAAAGGCCTGGTGCTATGATGTTTTTATTATTGCTGTCTGTGCTTTTACTTGATCTTTTAAATTTTAATTCTATTCAAGTCTAATTACATTTTCATGATTGCCCTTCCTAGGTTTTTAGCTTTTTCTATTTTATTTGGGTAAGCCAGCTTGAGTCCCAGACTGGGGAAAAGGTGAGATATATATAAATAAATAAATAAATAAATAAATAAATAAATAAATCAACAGCAGCAGCAACAACTTATAGGTATGCGATGTGTGTGTTTTTCCACTGGTGGACAGTAGCCAGCTAAAAGAGATAAGTCTGTTGTTTGTTCATGCTAAATCTTACCTGGCGAAACAGAACGCCTGTGTCAGTGCAATATCTGTTGGTCTGCTCCCCGCCTTGCAGGAGGACAATGGATTTCTTTGGCACATCCTTGTTTGATCTCAGCCGCTCGCACAAGCGAGTTCTGTTCAGGGCAAAGAGCGCTGCTGGAACCTTCAAGGTTTCGTTCCCCAGCCAAAAAGACGGCCTGGAAGGAGGAAGGAAACATTAGCTTCTGCAACAAGAGCAGCCCTCCCCTAAGCTGGGGCCTTCCAGGTGTTTTGGACTACAATTCCAGTCGGGAGTCATCAGCACTCTGATGGCACCCAATCCCAAAACCCTTGATGACCTCCCCCAGCAGATGTCAAGCAGCACAGCGAAGGAGATGAAACCTTAGCAGGACCCAGTAGGCTCTCCACCCATCTTGCACCACCGTCAGCAATCGACCAACCAGACAGAACAGTCCATGGCAAAACAGGGTGTCCAAGCCCCACACTGGCCAGTCACTCCAGAAAGATACCATGGCACTGGAAGCCACCAAGAAAGTCAACAGGAATGCATGTGCCCTGCCCAGTTCCCACCACAGTCATTTCAATTCCCAAGTTGGCCTTATACCCAGATGGCAAAATCTCATCCTGGGCTTGAATTGCCACCAGTGGCTCTATTTAAATCAATACGTTAGATTAACTAAGTGGCCTGTAAGCATCTCAAAGGGACTCACACCAGAAGGTGACACACACATTCCTGCATGGCAGGGAGCTGGACTAGAGGACTCCTTGGGTCTCTTTCAACTCTACAACTCGATGATTCTACGTACCAGTACTACATCTGACTTGAGCTGCACTTCCAATTCCATTCCATCTCATCGCCTCTTCACTTATTGACGGGAGGATTGTGCTACACAGATGCTGCCCTCGACATCTGGAACCTTATTTCTGTGCTTTTGTTCCATTGTCTTCCCAGAGGCAAAAATCAAGTTTGCACATTCATTTCTGCATAATGTATTCTGCTTTTGCTAGCTGTTGGCTGTGTGCACGCCTGGAGCAGGCCTCTGGAGAATAAGCATTACGCCCACTTGGTGGAGGAGTAAAGGATGGATCCATGAAAGCAAACTCCCAATTGTCCACACGGTCCTACTCCCACCGACAGATCAGTAATGATCAACTTTAGCACCAGCCAACAAACATCTCACATTCTCAGGTTCAACTTATTTCAGCTGAGCTACATGGAATGGGCCCCTCCAGCAACTCAAGAGTAGAAAATAAGGAACAAACATAGTGGTTATGCCTTCAGCCACAAGCTGTTACTATGCTCAGCTGTTGCTAAGATGTAGATATATATTTTCTATCAACCTGCATTAACCTGAGCGTGCTCAGTGAAATGTTCCCTCATGTATTAATTATTATATGGCTTTCTCAGAAAACAGAAAACGTGCAAAAGAAGGTAACCTTTGCTTCGTAGCCGGCAAAGAGCAAACTTCAGCGCGGTTTCAGCATCAAAAGTCCAAAATGCACAATTCCTGCAGCCAACGCAGCATAAAGGAACTTTTAATCTGTAACACCTGGAGACAATTCACGAAAGCCAAAGGTCAAACTTCTTCAGTGCGCAAAAATGGTGTGTGCATGAGGGAGAGCTCTGTGTGCGACTGCGTTTGTGTGAGTGAGACACAGAGAGTGCTGTGTCTGCATGAGTGTTGAGTGACTGTGGTGAATGTAAACACCTGTATACACACATGCACGTGTGTTCACCACACCCACTGTTAGTGTGTGGCCCTCGGAAGGGTGGCTGACTCCTAATTTGGCCCTCAGACTGTAAGAAGGTTAGCCCCTGCCCTTTTCTAAAGCCCTGGTTGGCAGCTTATTTTTGCTAAAAGGCCAGCAACGTTGGTTCTTACTTGTCCCGGGATTCAAGCCAAAGGACTCTGTGGCATCTCTTTCCTCCCTGGTGTGGACAGCAAGAAAAGCCCTTGCAAAGCCTATCCTCCAAGCAAGCAAGGTCCACACATTGCTCCCTTCCCACCCTGCCTCAGCTTCTGCGGAGTGAATGGCTGTATTACATAACCAGGGAAGTGCACCGCCAACACCTCTCGCCATCCACACTGGGAAGGGTTTTTGCTCACGTGAACATAGAAGGGACTGTGGTTGCAGAGGAGGTTCTCAAGATCAAGGGGCCGTGGAGGGAGAGGAGGGGTAGACAGATTCCGTTCCAGCTGCCCATCCCAAACCTAAGGCAAATTCTCAAGAATTCATCTAAGAAAGCAAAGATCCTGTTCTATCACCTTCCTGCCCTTCCCATGATTAGGTGGCAACCACATCTATTTATGACTTGTTAAGGCAAGCATGGTTGAGCAATGAAATGTCATCTGGCAAGAGTCGCCCCTGTAGAATCCCTGGGAGAGCCAGACAGTGACCGTCTTGCCAGGACTGGTTGCATATAAACCACTAAGTAGCAGGGTAGACAAACTCTACTATTTATATATAGTACATCTGTAGAGTTGGGAAGGACACTGAGGATCATCTGGTCCAAGCCCTATAATGCAGGAATAGCAGCTTCAGAATCTGTTGAGAATTCTTTAGCTGTGATTCCTGCATTGCAGAGGGGTTGGACTAATGACCCTTGAGGGATTCCATAAGAACTCTACAATTCTATCATTTCTCTTTATAATAAAAGTCAACCTAATCAGAGTTCAAGCATGTTGGGGGAAGGGTTCAAGCATGTTGCAGCACTTGTGGCTTACAGAATTTTAAAGAAGTTACAAGGCACATTTGACCCAATTCAGACATAACACTACTGCTGCTCCAATAAACTATGGCTTGTTGGAGTAGGGAAAAGGAAGAGCTCAAACGTTGCTAACTTATTTTCCTTCCTCCTCACCTTCAGCTTGAAAAGAGGCATCCTGATTTGTTAAACAAAGATTTCCCATGACATGCAACCCAGGAAACTGTGGGTTAAAGGCTTTCTCTAACCAGGATTGCTGATCCAACTTTGCATGGAGCTCTTAAACCACAATTCTCTTATCAGTTCTTATCCCACTTGAAAAGGACATTGGGTTTTGGAGACAGAGTGTTCCCTCTGATCTGGGCAATGGAGTTAAAGCAGGGGTAGGCAACCTAAGGCCTGTGGGCTGGATCTGGCCCAATTGCCTTCTCAATCCTCGGTCTGGGAATCAGTGTGTTTTTACATGACTAGAATGTGTGCTTTTATTTAAAATGCATCTCTGGGTTATTTATGGGGCATAGGAATTCGTTCATTTTCTTATTCAAAATATAGTCCGGCCCACCACATGCTCTGAGGGATGGTGGACCAGCCCACGGCTGAAAAAGGTTGCTGACCCCTGAGTTAAAGGCTACATTTCTATTTACGGGAGCAGCAATGGGGGAAATCTATGACTTTTGAAGTTAATCATGATAAAACATGATAAATGCCACAATTACCATATTTTTCCGTGTACTATACAAGACGAGGTTTTTTAATTAAAAGAAAGTGCTAAAAATTTGGTGTCGTCTTATACACGGATAGTGCTGAGATGGGATGGGCGATTGGCGGCTGCTGCGAGGAGGAGATTGTCATTGGCGTTTGGGCGGGTGATTGGTGGCTGCAACAATGTCTCCTGGCGATTGGCTGCTGCGACAATAGGGCGTGTGATTGTTGGCTGCTGGTGGCAAGTGGGCTGACGATTGGTGGCTTCGTGAATACACCCCCCCCAAAAAAAACCAGAACAAGTCTGGGCAATCCCCCCAAAAAAGCTGAACAACACGTGGCAATTTTCCCCCATTTCCTCAGTCTTGTGTCCCCAAAAATAGGGGTTGTGTTATACATGGGGGCGTGTTATACATGGAAAAATATGGTAAGTCATATATATGCATATTGCTGGTTGCTACTAGACCAAGGATCATGGTTGATCCCGTCCACCCACTGCAGCAAAGATACCAGAGTTTTGTTGCCCTAAGAAGCCCAGGAACTTATCAAATGGAATCAACTTATATATGTTCAAGGATTAGCAAGTCTGCCTAGGAATTGCCACCCTGTGGCTCACCACAGAAACCCACTGAGCCCAGCTGAGCAACCTTTTATTTTCTCACACCCTCCCCACTCCCAGAACTCTGCAGCGTGTTCAGTTTGAAAGCAAAAAATAGCTCTCACGGCCATCTAAAAAGGCATAGACTTTTTACCTCTCGGGTGCTTGCCCCCCCCCCAAGGTAAACACTGTTGCCTTTAAAATAAATTGCCATGTAATCATGAGCACCTTGCTCCTAGAAAGGGCTCGGCCCTCTGCGCATGTTTTACACTGAAGTCCTCCAGTACCTTTGCTGGAGATTACTTTCATATCAGAGAATTGTAGAGTTGGAAGGTACTCAAAGGGTCATCTAATCCAACCCCCTGCAATGCAGAAAGAAGCGTACACAGGGCTTGCCTTTAAGCAAGCAATCCTTACTGGAGAGGTGGGTTATGCCAGCCATGGAGTTGGATATGCCTCCCTCCCAATGATAAGGTAGTCGAAGCAGAGAAGAAAAGGGGTTGGCAGAGAATGTAAAAAGCCACCTCCCCACCATCTGCCCTGGCCAGTGTGAGCCCAGAAGGGTTTTGGAAGTGGCAGCTCTTCCATCAGTGACTCTCCAAGGAAGTAATTCTATTTAGTACCTTGGCCAGTGTCTAGAAAGGACCATAAACATATCTGCCTCTGGTCTCCAAGCAGATATAATTCTGGAGCAGGCTGCATGACCACAGGCTTCAGATGGTGTTCCTAACTTGTTTAGAGATTCAGCATAATTACATTTTTGTTATGTTTAGAGCAACCGGTTAGCATGCATTCTTGTTCAGGAAATACATGAACTGCAACATGGGAAAGTTCACAGAAGTAACAGATTTTAAATCACCAAAAGAGAAGGCCAATTTTATTCAACCTTCCCCATGAACAAGGCTTCGCTACACAACAGCAGAAAGACGACCAAGAAAATCCTTTGGGGCTGGCCTCTCACATCATTTCTCTCAAATCTTGTGTTGAATTTAAGAGTCTGAATGTGCCATTCTCCCTCATCCCCAAATGGGTAAACCAGCTTATAAAAAGAAAGGAGATTTGCATTAGCAATGCAAGAGAAACAACAACACCTGACCTAGTCCTTGGAAAGCGAACTCTGTTATCCACCAAAGGCGGCGCAAGTTGGAGACAGAGAGCAATGATGAACTACAGCTCCCATCAGCCCCCTGGACCACTGGGCATGCTGGCTGCCGGGTGTGCTGGGAGCAGGAGTCCAGCAACATCAAAAGGGGCTCACATCCCCCTACCCTCACCCCAGTTACAACTGCAGCTGTGAATATTTAAGAGGAAAGGCAAGATAAAAATGTAAAGGGATAGAAGAAGAGGGCTCTGCTTTGAAGAGGATTTCAGCCGACCCTCCTTGGGAACAAACAGCAGCGGAAAGATACAGCAACTGCCTGAAGCAAATAAGCAACTTCACACAAAAAAAACCCCTAGCCCTGACCTTTCGCCTTTAAGACCAGCATGATCTTAAGCTTTGTGTAGGTTAAGCCTATGAAAAATAGGGAGGCAAGAAAATATTCCTCTCCTTATTTTCTGTGTGTTGGTCCGCTGAGAAGGTCACAGGAACAAGGGCATTAGGAAAAGTTGGCAAGCCGATTTTTAAGGGTGGGAAGTGAAAAATTGGGCTGGAAGTGCCTCATTGGTCTGCCAAGTAGATCTAAACAGTGGAGGGGGGATCTCTCTTTGTCTGGAAATTACATCTCCTTTCACAGTTATGACTGTAAGCCAGGAGAACAGGAAAAGCACAAGAAGTAAGCCAGAAAGACATGCAGCTTGTGCAATGCAGCTCCTGAAACCTCACACCCCAACCATATTCTTACAACAACCTGGATTTGCACATGACACTAAACTGTGGTTAGTCTGAATGTCCAATCCCAGCCCAGCAGAATAACCATTATGTGCGACCATGGTTTCTTGTTGGCTTACAAACCATGGCTTGATTTAACTAAGGTTTTGCATTATGTCTGAACTCAACAGCCTTGTTGAGCTACCCCAGCAGATGTCAAGGCAATAAGCAACTATTTTACCTTTATTTTTTTAAAAAAATTATTCAAAATTAAAACAAAACATATTATACAAAAACGTATCATCCTTATTTTTTTTCCCATTTTTCCTTTCATTTGTTTTGGGACTGGGATTCCTTAAAATGTATCACTGAATTGCGAATTTTCTGAAATATGTTGGGCCTTCAATAAACTATGTTTCTAACACCTTGAGAAAAATCCCCTTTCCTCTCTTTTTTTTGGGGGGGGGAGGGAGGGGTGCTCCATCCTTGGGTAAAAAACACAGATTTCATGGTACATGGGAAACGGGAACTAGGTAGTTAGTACATTTTTTTGTAAACCACTTTGCGATTGTTTTTTACAATCAAGCAGTGCATAAATTTTATGAAATAAATAAACACACACAAAGCTGTGTGCAATCTCACTCCTTGACCTTTTTCCCACCCACATCCTCAACAGGAAGATTCTGACCTCTCTTATGGGTTAAGATCATTATGTGCAGTACTTTGTCAATTCAGGAGGCGCTATATTAATGCCAAGAGGAATGCTTAAACTTTAACAAAGTCCTGATCACACCAAAGCAAGTCCCTCTTTTCATGCCACTGCAATTGCAATGGAGAAAAGGAAATGTTTAATACACTCATTCATACTATACAATGAATGGATGAGCATATTAAACACAGTTACAGTTTCCTCCAAGCTTCCCCAAGATCTGTGGGGCACAGTAGGAGGCAGCAAGCTCTTCTGCCAGAGATATATTCAGCTCTCTCAAGTCTCTTTGCAAAACACTTCGCAAATCCCACAATGTGAACTTAATGTGCTCCTCTAGTGACATACTTTGCAAACCTACTGAAAAATAACAAGGTCAGGACTTTGATCGTCTTTATCAAGAATCCAAGTTTTGTATGGACAAAACTTAGATTCCCTTAATCAAAAGCCTTAAGACTGACGAGGTCATTTTTTACAGTATGAGGTTTAACATTACAGCAGTAATGAATAGATCTGTGGCACCCGCGATGAAGCACAAAGAAAGCACGACTGATTCTTAATAGGATTTTGAGCGTCCAACAGTTGCTTTGAAAAAATGTTTGGGGTAGGAAAGCAACCAATTTTTTTATTAAATGGGGGAAATGAAATGGAAGCAGAAAGCAATTGTTTACACAGAAACACTGTGTTGCTGCAATTCAAAAATCACTCACAGCCCAAGAGATATGGCTGCATATGCCTTACTCTCCCTCAGCCTTCCCCAACCTGATGCCCTCCAGATATTTTGGACTTTAATTCCTATCAGGCCCAACTAGCACAGACATGTTGACTGCTGATGGGAGTTGCAATCTGAAACATGGAGGGCACCACATTGGGGAAAGCTGTTCCACCTGAGCCTAGAAGGACATTGTTAGTTGTGCTGATACACTGGGATGTACTGGGAAACACAAGAGAGCCAATCCTAGAATCAAGAGGTGCTGCATTGGGTCACCAATATTTTCCTTCATGGCAGGGATGGATAACCTGTGGCCCTACAGATGTTCTTGGACTCTGGGGCTGACTGGAGCTGTGAGTCCACCCCTGCTTTAGTCGATGGGTCAGGAGGAATCTTGCAGATCATAGAATCATAGAGTTGGAATAGACCACAAGGGCCATCGAGTCCAGATGTGCACCAGGTCAGCAGGATTCAGGGAAAGTACAGCAGAAAGGGCAATGGGTGTGCCAAACTTAGCCAAATACAAGCCTGGCAGAAACCATGGCCGGGCAGATCCCTTAATTTTAAAATGCATCCCTATTCCACAGCTATATGGAATACACTGCACCTCACATGTGGAGACCAGTTTTCATCCCATGGATCACTATGTGAGTTTCTCTTTGTTACAATCTTCTCTTCCTACTGTACATTGGACTTGCTTAATCACCCAAATCAATTCCGGCTGAGAGTCCCTTAAAAAAAACTGCCCTAGAACAAGAACATAGGAAGATCCTTTATTCAGAGTCAGACCATTAGTCCATTTAGCTCTGTACTATCTACACTGGCCAGTTATGGAGCTCCAGGATTTCAGACAATATCTCTCTCAGCCCTACCTGGAGATGCTAGGGAGTGAACATGGTATTTTCTGCATGCAAATTTCTACCACTGAATTTAACCTAGAGATCTTGTTGCTGTTACAGAATAGCTGGAACGCAAACACATTTAGCAACATTTACTGTTTGGGACAGCCACACATCGTATTTTTAGGCCTGGGAGTGGTGGTTAAAACAAAAAAGAACTCTCTCACAAACACAAATACTTGGAAAAGCCACACCCAACGTCTCCCCAAGAAATAAAAAACTGCAGATTATGCCCATTGATACAAATATTGAATCTGAAAAGAAGTACTGTACTAAAGTCCAGTTCAAACTGTTAACATCAAAATAAGGACACCCACATATCCTCATAAGGAACTAGCAACAGCTCTCCAAGACTTTTAGGCAGGGATCTTTCCCAACCACACCTGGAGATGCAGGGCATTGAACCTAGGACCTTTTGCACACAAAACAGCACTGACCTTTGGCTCCCCTCCACCCCTTTTGACATTCCTGTGCATTATCCATAACTTCTGAAGTGAAAGCAATGAAACGTTAGTACAAAGCTGCCCATAGTAAGGTTATAAACAGATGGAAAAGGGAACAGAACAAGAGCATTGCATAGAATACTATAAACTTCACAATGGCTTTCACAGCTGCAAGCACACATTTAAAGCGAATTCTCCCACAACCCATGATTAAGGGTGGCAGAAACGGCAACTCTCCAAGGGTCAAACTACATTTCCCAAGGTTCTGGGTCTGTGTGCTTTAAACGTATGGCATATACACAGCCTAAAGCTCACTTAGCCACGCTTGCTGCCTATATGGATAGAGAGATGGGGCGAGGAGAATAGAGAAAGCCAAGGGACCCGTGGCATTGGCTGCCCGGGCACCCGCAGCCACGGGCGACGTGCACGTCAGGAGACACCCCATTCCCACTAACTCGTAGGAGAGGTCGCAGAGGGGGCGTAAACCGGAGGTTATCTGGAACACGTGTGAATGCTTCGCAGCAGCATTTCAAAGGAGGAATCTCCCGCAAGAGGCAAAGAGAGTGCTGCTTATTCCTCCCTCCAGCTCCTGCAAGGAATCTTGCAAGCCTGCCAGCCACCCTCTGCCTCCGGCCAGCCGTCGGTGCTGCCTGCCTGCTTTGCTCCGCAACCTGCAAAGCAACAGCAGCAGGAGCAGCGCCTCTTTCTTACCCCTCGGACGCAGCCATGTTGCTTCGTCGGACTCGGTCTGTCATGTGACCGCCGCTACCCTTGTCAGCCACTAAAAAAAGGGAAACCAGGAAGGGGCGGGGCAAAGGGTGGGGTTTGGTTGCTCCTGGCGACGGGGAACTCTTTGGCCAGCGGGGAGGGGGCGCTGCGTCCTCTTTATGTTTCTAGCCCCTCTGGAGCTAATTGGCTGGCTCTTCTCTGGGTAGGAGAGAAACGGCCCATGTGCCACTGCTTGCCACGGCTTTTAGCCTGCCCACAACCTGTTCTCAGTACCAAATACGATGATGGGTGGGGTGTTTCTAGCTCATAGAACTGTAGAGCTGAAAGGGACCACGAGGGTCATCTAGTCCAACCCCCTGCAATGCAGGAATCTTTTGCCCAACGTGGGGCTCAAACCCACGACCCTGAGATTAAGAATTTCCTGCTCAACCAAGGGGGAACTGTCACGCTTCCTTGTCATTTTTGCAATGGCCAGGAGGTGTGATGTTATATTTATAGTGTTGAAATTTTGTGGTTTTTAAATGTTGTTACATTTGCTATTATGTTGCTGTTTCGTTATGTTATTTAAAAAATGTTCTTGTGATGGTTGATTTTGAGATGCATCCCTGCTTTCTGTGTTGTCAGCCGCTTTGAGAATGAGTGAGGTAACCCCACAGCAGATTTCTTTCTGATATAAATTGTCACCTGCCATTGCACCATAATTATTTCTTAATACTGAAGATGAAGAAGATAATGTAAACAACGTATGCACTTCACTCAGTCACAGTCATGGTTACAGTTTTCTCAGTTTTCTTTTGTTTATCTGTACAGTGGTTCCTCAGGTTAAGTACTTAATTCGTTCCGGAGGTCCGTTCTTAACCTGAAACTGTTCTTAACCTGAAGCACCACTTTAGCCAATTGGGCCTCCTGCTGCTGCTGCTGCGCCGCTGGAGTACGATTTCTGTTCTCATCCTGAAGCAAAGTTCTTAACCTGAAGCACTATTTCTGGGTTAGCGGAGTCTGTAACCTGAAGCGTATGTAACCTGAAGCATATTTAACCCGAGGTACCACTGTACATCCTATTGACTTTTTACAGCTGTATTCTTAAAAAATAAATAAATATATGTTGTTGTTGTTGTTTTTAAAAAAATAACACCAAAAAGGGTTTGCTGGGCTGGAGGTCACTTTGTCAAGATATATATGCTGCATTCTCCTCAATCTGTAAATATATACAGTTGCACGACAGAAACAAAATGTCACATTTGTTTTGCAGGCAAGAAAGGTCCAGGTTCAATCCCTAGGATCTCCAGGTAAGACTCGTGGGAAATGCTGCCTGAAATTTTGGAGGGCCATTGTCAGTCAGCATAGTATTTAGCTAAATGAACCAACAGCTCAATGCACTGTAAAGGCAGTTCCTTAAACTCTTACTGAAGCAAATTATTCCTGTCCCTGTAAAACTTGCAATTGCTTGCTATTCCCTGAACTAGGGTGAGTCTCATTTCAATGGGAATCACTACAGAATATTACAAGAGCAGCAGACATATTTCCATAGAAACAGGGTGCATCATCACTGGAAGTGTTAGTTGAGAGGCTCTGCCACTCAGCGCAGAGCAGGGGTGGTGAACTCTTTGGCCCAAGGGCCATATTCCCTTCTAGGTAACCTTTTGAAGGCCACATATCAGTGGCAAGAAGGGACAGAAACAAAATAGGATGGAACAACAAATGCAAATTCTACCTTAATGCAGTAGGCTGGTGTCTACACTCACACCCCCCTATCTAGCCTCTTCTCTGCCAGGAAAAAAACAAGAGAGTGCAAAGTAGAGTTGGTGACAGGTGTGTCCTGGTGCTGAGGAGGATGTGTAGCCTAGTGAGAGCCCCATGGGCTGGAGAGAGAGAAATGGAAATCCGCATTTGACCCCTAGGCAGATCTTGAGGCACAGGAGTTGGTCAGGTGCCTGTGTGGCGGAAATTATTTAAAAAGCATCTCCCTCGCCCACCCAACTTCTTCCCCAAAAAGGCAACTGGGGGTGATTCAGGACAGTGTTTTGGTACTAGAGACGAGTATCAGAAAATCAGCACTGTCATAGTGAACAAGGGCAGTTTGAGCATGTTCTGGTATGAGGAGCAAATGGATCCCGCACAGTTCCTGCTTTTTAGATCAAAAGAGAAGTAAAAATAATTCAACTGAATGTTTACACCCTTGCAACATCTGGTTATTTGTCTAAGAATAACTGCAACTCAAACACACTCAGTAGCAGTTATTATCTGGAGAGACCTGCATGTTTTTCCAATTAGGACAAATTGCAGCTTGTGTAGGCGAGGGAAGTTCAGAGGAAAACAGCTTGTTGGTGGAGAGTATTACTACCTGCACACACACTGTATCCCATTCCAGATCTGGACTGCTTCCAACATATATAAAAATATAACAAAACATTAAGCACTAAAAAACCTTCCCACTACAGGGCTCCCTTAAGATGTCTTCTAAAGGTTGTATGGTTACTTATGTACTTGGCTCGGGGGTCACATAACTCCATACCCTCCAACATCTCTCCAATGAAAATAGGGACGTCCTAAGGATAAGCGGGACATTCTGGGATCAAATCAGAAATGGGACGGCTTCTGTAAACCCGGGACTGTCCCTGGAAAATAGGGACACTTGGAGGGTCTGGATTTAACCAGCAGTCCCAGGCAGAGCCAACCTGCCCATGAGGCTCAATGAGGCAGTCACCTCAGGCGTCAGGCTCGAGACAGCTGGGGGGCCAGCAGATCTGGGGCCCCGAGCAGCATGCCACTTGGGTAGCAAAGCGTCTTGGGCTCTCCCTGGCCAAAGAAAGGTCTTAGTAGTTATAGCTGCTGCACCATCAAACAAACAAACAAACAAACAAACAAACAAACAGTACTTCAAAAAATATTGTGTCAGCAACATAAAGGGAGAGATACCCATTTAAAAGTAACCTTATAAAGAAAATGTGGGGTTTTTTATTTAAAAGTCCATCTATTATCTTCCCAAGAGACAGCAACAACAGTAGCTGTGGTTTGCTGAGCTTGTACAAGGAAGTGGTTTAATCTCTGCCAAATTTACAGAACTGCTTTTCCCTTTTACGTCTTGCTGGTTAAGCAAAAGTTAATCTATTTTCCGATTCACCGACATCAGCCAGAAACAAAGCACTTGCTGTTCCCATCACACCCACTTTAAATCCAAATATTGTGTTTCTTTGCTGCTTCTCTTCTTTCGGTGGCTTGTGGCACCTGGCCTGGGCATTTTCTCACATGGCATTAGGCTTATATTGTATTGTGCATAATAGAAATACTTGATTGTCACTGTACCACTTGTTTACAGTGAGATTAAATGAGCCCCCCCCCGCCCCCCACAATCTCTCAGTCCTTGTTACACTCTGTGTGCTGTCATACGACCACCAACCCCAAACATCAGCAATGCAATGTTGCTGTCTTCCACTCAGCAGCCTCATGGCCCACAGGTAGAAACTGTTCTTTAACCTGTTGGTGTGGCTTATCATGCTTCTATATCTCCTGCCCGAGGGCAGGAGATTAAAAAGATGCTGGCCAGGGTGTGAGTCATCCCTGAGAACGTTCCTCGCTCTTCTGAGGCAACAGTCTCCTGCGATAACATCTAGCAGACTCAGGGGACAGCCCACGATATCATGTGCTGTCTTCACCACCCTCTGTAGGGACTTTCTGTCCATGGCTGTCAAACCAGCGTACCACACCGTAATACAGTATGAGAGAATACTTTCTATCGTGGACCGATAGAAGGAAATCATCAGTTGCTGTCTAACATTTTTCTTTCACAAGACCCTAAGGAAATGAAGTCTCTGTTGGGCCTTTCTAACCACCTGGGCTGTATTGACCTTCCAAGTAAGGTCTTCACTAAGATAGACTCCCAGGAATTTAAAGGAGGAGACTCTCTCCACACAGCCCCCCATGATATACAACGGGGCTAGCTCCCCTCACTTCCTCCAAAAGTCCAGCACCATCTCCTTTGTCTTGCCAATGTTTAGGTGAAGATTGTTCTCTGAGCACCATGTGGATACCTTTTGAACCTCTCCCCTGTATGCAGATTCGTCTATAAGAGCCTTTTGCTAACCTGGTGTCTTCCAGATGTTGTGGTCTGCAACTCACATCAGCCCCAGCCAGCTCAATGTATAACGCAGGCTGATCCTGTGCCTGATTGCTCATTATAGGCGCACATTTAATTGCTGTGGCATTTTTTAACAATCAGGTTGATTGCAGGATTCTTTTCGTATTGTACCTTTCAACAATTCATATGTATGAGTGAAGAGCGGATTTAATTAAAAACGGTGCGGAGGGAGATAAGTGAATGAATGAATAAGTAAATATTTGTTGCTCATTAATTAATGCAGTTACAAGGGTCTGGTCTTGGGTACGTAATTCTCAACACTAGACTGTGGCAATGCACTGAGGGGGTGGCTGCTCCAGCTGGTGCAGAATGCAGAGGCTAGACAGCTGATGGGGACAAATGGGCGAGAGTATGTTATACCTCTGCTATAACATCTGCCCTTGCTGCCCATATGCTACTGGGCCAACTTCAAGGCTCTTGTGTTAATATACAAAGCCCCAAACAACCTGGATCCATGATACTTTACGGACCACCTGAGCCCTTATTTCCCAGCTCAGTCACTGAGATAATCCAGAGGAGTGCTGATAATTCTCTCCCATGTTACCGAGTCCCCACTGGCTTCAACTAGAAGTTGGGCTTTGTGGGTTCATCTATATTGTTGCTTAATCATAGAATCATAGAGTTGTAGAGTTGGAAGGGACCTTGAGGACCATGTAGTCCAACACCTGGCAATACAAGGAATATGCAGCCCTGCAACATTGGCATTCTCAGCATCACAGTCTAACTCACTGAGCTATCCAGGCTGACAGTGAGCTTCCTGTACCCCTATTCATTCTTCATTATGCACCAGATATTCTCCAAATCACCCGCATCCCACACTTTCCCCTTCCCTTGGTCTGGATTGTCTCACACTAAGGATGTTCTGAAAAGGAGAGGGCATGAGAAAATCCAGACTGAGGGAGGGGAAAGTGTGGGAAGGCAGGG